CAACACACTATCTGGCCAGAAGAAAATAAAGAAAAGGTGGGAACAATATACTAATGGCTTATACAGAAGAAATAAAAGAATGACAAACTAATTTGAAGAGGAATTGTATGATGAAGAACCTGCAGTTCTAGAAAGTGAAGTGAAAGCTGCTCTGAAAGCACTAGGAAAAAATTAAGCACCATATGTAGATGGAATATCAATAGAACTATTTCAAGCCACAGAGATCGAATTTGTCAAAAGCCTAAGTATATGCCAACAAATATAGAATAGAAAACAATGGCCCACCGATTGGCAATGCTCAATATAAATTTCAGTCCCCAGGAAAGGAGATGCCATGGAGTGCAGTAACTATAGGATGATTGCTTTAATTTCCCATGCAAGAAAAGTAATCCTCAAGGTTCCACAACAAAAGCTTTTTTTACCTTATATGGAGCAAGAATTGCCTCGTGTTCAAGCTGGATTTCGAAAAGGAAAAGGCATTTGAGCTCATACTGCCAATACTGGAGTGCATCAAAGAATTTCAGAAGATCCATCTGTGCTTTGTAGACTACAACAAAGCCTTTAACTGTGTAGATTAAAAGAAACTATGGGCTGTTCTGAAAGTGGGTGTACCTCAGCACTTGATCATCCTAATGTGTAAATTGTATTTTGGACAAGAAGCTACCAATAGGGCGGAAAATGGAGAAACAGAATGATTCCTATAGGCAAAGTTGTCAGACAAGGTTACATTTCATCCCCTTATCTGTTCAATCTGCACACAGAACATATCATACAGAAAGTCAGATTCAGATGAAGGCCAAACATCAATAATTTAAGATTATGCAGATGGTACCATTTTACTGGCAGAAATCAGCAATGACTTGAAACAACTTTTAGTGAAAGAAGAAAGTGCCGAAGCAGGACTATAATGGAACATTGGAAAGACAAAAATTGTGACTACAGAATAACTACCCAACTTTAATGTTCACAATGAAGAAATTGAAATAGAGATTTTGTATACTTGATTCAACCATCAATTCAAATGGAGAGTGCAGACAAGAAATCAGAAGACTGAGTCTTGGAAGGTCAGTGATGAAGGAATTAGAAAAGATCATCAGTTGTATGGATGTTTCAGTGGGGAGACCAAAACCATCCACAGTCTTCTATTCCTGATTACTGTGCGTGTGTAAAAGCTGCACTAAAGAAATTGAGACCAAGACCAAGACCATCCACAGTCTTCTATTCCTGAGTACTGTGTGTGTGTAAAAGCTGCACTAAATAAATTTTACAGGAACAAAATTGATTCATTTGAAATGTGGTGCTGGAGTAGAGTTTTGCAGATATCCTGAACTGCCATAAAGACAAACAGGTGACTCCTAGAGTAAATCAAGCCAGGGCTGTTTCTGGGGCCAAAAATGATGAAAGTGGGGGTCTCCTACTTTGGGTACATCATGAGAAGGAAAGATTCTCAGGAAAAGACAATAATGTTGGGAAAGTTGGAAGGCAACAAGAAAAGAAGATGACTAAATGTGAGATGGATTGCCTCTCTAAAGGAAGCCACAAGGTTCTGTTTATAAGACTCGAACAGGGTTTCAGAGGACATGGGACATTTTGGAGATCTCTCATTCATAGAGATGCCATAAGTTGGAAACAACTTGATGGCAAGTAACAACAACAAACTGCTGTATCATCAGCAAGTAGATTGGTGATGCACTGATTGCCATTAATTGTAGTACCGTTTTGCCTGGGATCATTCCTAGCTGCCATAACCAAAGGCTCAGTGCTGCAGGTGAATAAAATCAGGGAAATTAGTATCCTTACTTACTTCTCCTATAAATCTAGAAGGAGGTTGTGATCATATTGTTTGCTCAATACTACTGCCTTATGGTTGCTGTAAAAGGCATCTAATACAGCTAGTCTAATGGGGAAAATTAATGAATTGGAACTTCCACATAAATCAGCTTCGAATACAACCACACTATATTCTTTATGATGAGACAGGTGGAGTTTATGGCTATTGAAATTACCAGTATTGGAGAGGATATGCAGTATACTAATAAAAATGCTATGAATGTATAAACTTTGAGAAAATTATATGAAGGGAAAAAGAAAAGCCAAATTAATTTACCTGGAGATGAAAAAGAAGGCAAGCATGATTTAAGATTTAAAATTAGTGAACTAAAAATAAATAAAGACATTTTAAATTTTTACTAGAGATGGGCATGAATTTAAAAAATGAATTACCAAATTCATTCAAAGTCACTAATTTGTCAATTTGTACAAATCGATGCCCCTGACAAATATGAATCAACAAATTTTAGTCATTTTTATTTCTTTTCATGGGGCTATAAAACAGCCTCCCAGGCACCTAGAGACACCAAAATTGCAGTGACATTTCTTCAGACTCTCTTCTACAACCCCTCCATGTTTGGTGAAGGATTTCAGATGTCTGAGTTATCCACCCACAAAGATCCCCCAAAAAAGGTTCCCCCCAAGCACCTAGATACACCAAAATTGCAGAGAACCTTCTACCGACTGTCCTCTATAATCCCAAGTTTGGTGAAGATTGGGTTCCCCCAAGCCAACTGCTAAAGGACACATTCCTGGGGGGACCTATTTTGTGGGTGTATAACTCAGATGTTGGAAACTCAATCTTCACCAACTTGGAGGGATTGTAAAGGAGAGTCAGTAGAAGCTTTTTTGTGAATTCAGTGTCTCTAAAATCCCTGGGGGGGACTTTCCTGGGAGTGCCTACTTGTGGGTGTATAACGTAGACATCCCAAACCCAAACTTCACCAAAGGGTTTGTAGAGGAGAGTTGGGGATGTTTCCTTGAGAATGAAACATTATTTCCTTCTAGGTGGTAGTGGTGGCATTTTATAGAGTTTAAAGTAAAAATGAATTGACAAAATGATTCAATTGTGAGAAAATATTCTTAAATTTGTAATTTGTGATTCATCACCCATGATGAACCACAAATCAAAATTAATTACCATTTTTCTGATTTGTGCCCATCTTTACTTCTTACTCCCCAAATGAAGTAGCAATTTATCAATTTTTAAATAAGTTCTATTTCAATAAATTGTCTAATGATCAAAGATCCCTATTAACTAATTCTATATATTCCCCTAGTGGATTGCACACAGAGATCCAAATATTTTTAAAAAATAAAAACCCAAAGTTTCATGTCCATAATGGGAGTTTCTACAAAACACTGAATAGCCAATTGGCATTGTTTCTGATTCTTCTAATTCATTACTAAAGTTACAGGAATTTGCAGACAATTTATTGATCAATAAATCTGGCAATGAGTCTAGAAGTAGGTTCATATAATCTTACAACCCTTTTGAACCAGGATGCCAAATTGATTACCAGTACACTCTCTAAGAAATTAGGTCCTATTGCTCTAAATTATATTTCCCCCCCCCGGTAACCTCGATTTAATCCAAAAAAAGGACAGGTATCACACCAAATCTGCAAATTATTAACCAAAGTTCATTAATGAACCTGAAATGAAAGAAATTCCTTTTCAGTTGCCTCTATTGATGTATTTAAGGTATCTGATAAATTGAAATGGGTGTACACATTGAAAACGTGCAAATATAGATACTAATTTATTTTATTATTTATTTAAAATATTTTATCCTGCTTTTCTCTTTTAAAAGGACTCAAGGTTGTTTACATTATTAAAAGACAGTATTCAAAGCTAACAACAGAGAGAATACAAATACTAATGAGGATCAAATTAATACTATACTAAAAAATATATGCAACACCAAAACTCATTAAAAGCAGTAAAGTACAAAGGTCCATTTAAAAACCTTACTAAGACAGCCAATCAACCAGGGAAAGCTGGCCTGAAGAGAATGGTCTTTGCCCGCTTGCAGAAGAACAGCAGAAATGGTGCCAGCCTGGCAGAAACAGCAGGGGCTGTTCAACAATGGAACGGTTACCTTGGAAAGTGGTGCAGTTTTCTACCCTGGAGGTTTTTAAACATTGGTTGGTGATAATCTGATGTGAATACTTTAGCTGTGGTTTTGTTCATGGGCAGCAGGTTGGGCTAGATGACCCTTGGTATCCCTTCAAGTTTACATTTCTGTGACTTGTAACGTGAGCCCAGGAGAGACATGCTAGATAGGAAATAATTGTGCCTCTGAGAGGCTAGCTGTGAGCAAATCATTGTGAATCCTTGTGGATGAAATCCACTTTCTCAAGCTCTAAGCACACCTTCTTCGTGGATGGTGCAGAATTGGGATGTGCTTAGAGCCTGAAGAAGCAGCTTTCATTCACGATGGCTTACTATTTGTTTTATTTTTTAGTGGTCCAATAAAAGGTATCACCTACTCTTGTGCTTAACTAAAAGGTGGTGAAGAAATATCACATTAGCTCAAGCGCCAGCTAATAGTGTGTTGTGGCTAATGATGCAGTGAGCAGCTGGCAAGACTGCTGTGGCTTGCAGCGCTCAAATACAGTACATTACATTCAAAAGTAACGGCTTAGTTACTTTTTAAAATTGCAAGCCGTACTTTAAAATTATACAGTAATTGCAACTAATAAAGATCGGGCGGACTTGGAACTCTGGGTTGTTCCAGGGAAATGATTCTTAGTGCAGTCTCAACACTTGATTTCGTTTTATTTGACATGGTGCAGGTATTCTATTATTATTATTTTTCCTCCTTAGCGGCCTTTCTCTAGCAGGGAAGACAAAAAAGGGGGGGAGGTGGAACATGGGAGGTCTCTATATTGAAGCCTGGCCTTCCTGTAAAGTTCCATAAGTAAATCCTCATCTGGAAGCACCTATAACGGTAACTAACCACAGTACTTTTAGAATGCAACGTCCCCAACTCCGGAACCGTCCTTTCTCATTCCCAGAACGCTAACGACTGCCCGGGGAGGGAGCGAATAAAAAAAGCCTCGGCTCGGTTCCCCACCTGGGAAAGGCAGCAGCCCCCACCCACCCACCTCGCGAGCGCGCAGGTCTCCTCCCTCGACGGCGCGTGCGGAGCTCGGCTCTCGCGCTCTGTTTTGGCGGCCAGCAGGCGGGCCGTTGCCCCTGGTTACCGCCCGGGCCTCCGCGTTCCTTTCGGGCCGGCGCTCGTGCGCTGCGCGGAGAGTCCCTTGGCCTTCTTTGCGAAAAAGGCCTCGCGACCGAGGAGCCCTGGGCGTGGCGTGGCGTGCGCCCGCCGCGGCTCTAGGAAGAGGGCAGGTGAGTGGCGCGTCCCAGGGCCGGTGGTACGCCTGCTTGCCCAGGTGCGGCCAAGCCCGGGACCAGGGAGGGTAGCAAGTAACTGGGTTGCGCTTCGGCTTGAAGGATTGGAACCGGGGGTGGCGGACGTAGCAGACGGGAACTGGCCGTGACCATCTCTTCAGGAGGGCTGGCGTCAAGGCGGGTAACAAGCTTTAAAGGCCACTCGACGACAAGCCCTTCGTGCCCCTCACGTCACGCATCCTAGCGCCGCCCCCGCCCCCCAGAGAAAGGGCCCTGCGGTGGAGGTGGTGCCTGCTTTCCATGCATGCAGCCGCTCTTGCGCTTTGCGGTTCGGAGGACCCTCCGCTCTGCAGTGGCACCAACTGGAAGGTGCCTCTGTTGCCACGCTTGTATTTGGGATTATTTTGAACACGGAGGCCCCGATCCTCTGAAAAGGAGTGAGCCGAGGGAAGGAAGGGAAGAAGCAGGGACAAGGATCAGATCCTCGTCCTCCCTGCTGTCCAGAGGGTGGTGGTGGCGGCCGGTAAGTGGCTGAGCAGATCCTCGTCCTCCCTGCTGTCCAGAGGTAAGTCGCTGAGGGCTGCCCCGTGCCTCGCTCAGCTCGCTTGGGTCTTGACTTTGCAGTGGTTTTATTTTGTGCTAGCCTTTCAGTTGCAGCAAACCTTGTGGGAGACCTCTTTGTAGGAGCGATCTCAAGATGGTTCTGTAGAGGTCCATCTTGCCACCCTTTAACATCTAGTATCTGGATGGTGGTCTTTCAGGGCTGGGAGCACAGTGCGGTCACTGTGGGCTTATGTTTCCATTTTGCTTTCCCTTAGTGTCAGGTATGGCATAGTCCTCTGTGAATGTCTGTCAGTAACTCTGTACAAGCCGGGTGCTGCTGATGACGTTAGGTGAATCCACCTGCTGATCTGGGTCCTACTGTGTGAAATGTAACTTTTTGTTTTAAGGTGCAGGTTTGTGGCATTGGAAGTGCTTCTGCACATTGCATTATCTCTGGGTCATAACTGAGCCTGGGAATGGGTTTTTCCTTCTATGGATGGAAAAATCAGCTTGAGTTCCTGCTCTGAGCATTTCTTGACTGCTATATATAAGACTCCTCTCTAAGGCTACAAACAGACCTCAGAGATACTTTTAGTCCATGACTGGAAGAACGAGATTCTTAACTGACAGTGCAATCTGATGGGGATTTGTCCTGTGGCTTGGTCCAGTTTGGGGATGGACTGGTTTGTTTCTTTTTGTGGCAATCACACCAGCAATTGTGAAGCAGCCAGGCTGTTACCTGTGGTAACCCACACTTTTGGGGGGGTCCCTGTTAGCTGCTGCTATTTTTTTTAGTACAGATAGGATTTCTCCATTTTAGTTCAGTTTGTGGCATGTGTGATAGCTGGTATTGAGCCAAAGTGGTATGCCAATGAAGTGATATATCACTTACTAATAAATGGAGGAGGGGAATCAAGTTTTCTCCTGCTTCCTGCTTAGGGGGTGACAGAAGAATATGTAGAGGGATGTTTTTTTTTCCTTTAGAATCCAGCTCTGCTTTACTTTGATGGCAAGCTCATGCAGTGATATGTCATTTAGCAAAAAAAAGCATTGAGCCAAAGTGGTATGCCAATGAAGTGATATATCACTTACTAATAAATGGAGGAGGGGAATCAAGTTTTCTCCTGCTTCCTGCTTAGGGGGTGACAGAAGAATATGTAGAGGGATGTTTTTTTTTCCTTTAGAATCCAGCTCTGCTTTACTTTGATGGCAAGCTCATGCAGTGATATGTCATTTACCAAAAACAAGCAAGCAAACAAACAGACAAACAAATAAAATCCATCTTTCCCCCACTCTAAAAAAAGCAAGCAAACAAACAAACAGACAAACAAATAAAATCCAGCTTTCCCCCACTCTCCACAGAGAAGAAGGCAGAAGAGGAGAGGGATGGGAGGCGGAAGAGGAAGCAAAAGGGATCTCTTTTTTCCTTTTTTCCCCTTTTGCTTTACAGCCCAGTGCAGTTTAATTTCAGTGGCAAGCCAGTGCAGTGATATATCACTTACCAGTAGCAAACAAACAAACAGACAAACAAATAAAATCCAGCTTTCCCCCACTCTCCACAGAGAAGAAGGCAGAAGAGGAGAGGGATGGGAGGCGGAAGAGGAAGCAAAAGGGATCTCTTTTTTCCTTTTTTCCCCTTTTGCTTTACAGCCCAGTGCAGTTTAATTTCAGTGGCAAGCCAGTGCAGTGATATATCACTTACCAGTAAATGGGGGAGGGGGAACCCAGCTTTTCCCCAGTCCCCGTGGAGGGAGAGACAGGTGAGGATGGTCGTGTATGGCTCCGATGGATGAACAGGCTACATAGGGTAGCTCTGAGGTTCCTGTACTGAAGCCACCCAGGGGGATACAAGGACCGTTTTAAATCTCTGAACGCATTTTCAAGTGACCCTGTTTAGCCCAATCAAGCCCAGGATAATTTCACTGTCTAGTCACGTCCAGAGTGCCATAGATGCCAGTGCAGTGGAGTGGACACTGTGTCAAACTTAGACTCAAGAGAACTTGATGCAAAACCACATTCCTGAAACTCTGTTGGGGTTTATATCAATCGGAAGAGACTTGAACTCACATAAAAGCAACTGACTGTTATAGCAGGAGTTTCTGTCACCTCCTGGATTATATGGATAAGCTTGGTTTTTTTGATGGTTGGTCTTAAGTACTTAGTCCCAAGATTCCTTTGAAGTTTGTTAAACACAAGATTCCTTTGAAGGCTTATTCCACAAAAACTTCACCTCAGTCACCTCTCTCCATAACATCAACTGTACTATCGAATGAAAGGTTATGCCAAAGTCTATTTCTGGCCTCAGACGGTTCAGATCTTTCAGTTTTTCCAGGATATGACAATACTGCTTTTCTTTGGAGCCTGCCTCAAAGGATGGCCATTTTTTAATAGTTTCATTGGTTGCCAGTTGTTCTATGCTAAAGTCAAGGTGCCGAATTTGATTTAAAACCCTTAGATGGGCTGACACAAAGATGCTTTAGGGGAGCGCTCTTTCCCATGTATACCTCTTAAGAATAAGCACAACAAGAAATGTATTAGTCAAAATCCTGTTGCTTGGTGTAGTATATTGTACTAGAGCAGACTCGTTGAATCAGTAGGGCTTTAGTGAGTCATCCCCTCCATAAGTTTCATTGATTTAAATGGACTTATTCTAACTGCAACTTTAACATAGTAAGTAGCAGTTCGAATAGGTCCATTTGAATCAATAGAATGTAGGAAGAAGTTGACTCACCAGTGGGTCTACTCTAGCACAGTTTACTATGCTAAGCAGCCAGATTTTGGCCATTGTATTGAATTGTTTTTATCACACTGTTTTATATTTTTACTTATGTTATTTTAAGCTATCTTAAGGGCACCTTGCAGGTTGAAAAGGAACCTGTTAAATGATAATAAACATAATTTTTGGATTTTTTTTTAAATTTAGGATTTCTAACACAGCTCCTGCAAAGGGAGTATAATTGCATTCTCTCATGGAATACTTAGCAGTAACAAAAGAGATCTGAGATGCACCCATGTTCCTGTTTAGTTACGTTTTCTCCCATATTTGCCTGCTGCTTTGCTGTTTTCTTCGTAAGTATAAAGCATGCATTTCTAATTTGTTCTTTGTTGATACTGTTTCAGTGTTGTTTATTTTATGTTTTACAGTTTCAGTTCTTTGTGGCATATGCTTATATTTAAGCTGACTTGAATATGATTTGTCATAAAAGGTTGGATGCAAATGTCAACACAAATATACAGAAATAAAATGCCTGCTGATGTAGGAACTGAAATAATATAGGCTTCAAGATTATCAATAAGCCCATCTTTTCTAAATGTGAATGACATGGGGTTGGATCCACAGTCAGTTATATCTAAGAGTATATGCACTAAAACGATGAATCTAAAGGTGCAGCTACACTGGAAAACTGAATTGGATTGATTTGGCTTTACTGTGATTTGATTTGCAGCCTTTATTACATTTGAAATTGCAATCTGTGCTCCCATAGGGGCTGCAGATTGACTTGGGAGTCCAACCTTCGTTCTGGATGTGACATGAGTAGCGTTCCAGCCAACAGCCTCCCTTCTATCCTTTCTTCCTCTGGTTCCACCTCTGCTGATCCTTTTATGATTTGCTGTAAAGCCACTTTCTCACTTAAAGCTTCAAACTGCTACATTTCTGAAAAACTTTTCTATAGGAAAAATATGGAAAGGTACTTAACAGAGCCATCAAAAGTTTGAATAGTAATTTTGCAAAAAAACATCATAATTCACACATCAGAATGATTCCATAACAGGGATTGCCACTTTCTCATCTGTTACGTTCCCCCCTTGCCTTCAAGTAACACATGCAAGAATTACTTCATCTCTGACCACATATGGTTTTAAACTGTTGGCATGACAAACTTTTAAAGTCCATTTTCAGGCTTGTCAATTAACTAATTAACACGACTAAGCTTTTGATTCACAACAGAAGGGCCTTCTCACCTGATCTGAAGTTTACTGTGCTTGACAGGATTCAGGACTAGCACCCAGTTTCTCATTAAAATTACAGTGCTTTGTTTTGCATGCCCCCCCCGCCCCAGTGCTGGCCTGAACATCACGCCCCAACTGCCTGTGTCACCAAAATACCAGCTGCAGACATGACCCTATCTTTAAAAGAATGTATCACAACTAACCACATGGGGAAAAGCCCATTTGAAACATTCTGGCTTGAAAAAGTAGAACCCCCCCCCCCCAGTAGCAGAGAAACAAAGCTGCTTTGGGAGCAAAAAGGGCTGGACCAATTCAACCTTTAGATCATGCAGCAGAGAAACAAAGCTGCTTATTCACCCATTTTATAAGTGGATCAAATCCCACAGTATTTGATTGTGTTGTTGCACTCTGTCACATTGATTCCAGTGCATTTGCTTTAAGCATAACTGAATCAAAAGAAAAGTGTAGGAAACACTTGGTCTATAGGCTCTTCAAGATATGATTTCTTTTCCTGTGTGGTTCCAGTAAAAAGAAAGAAGCCATAGCTGAAAATTCACCCATTTTATAAGTGGATCAAATCCCACAGTATTTGATTGTGTTGTTGCACTCTGTCACATTGATTCCAGTGCATTTGCTTTAAGCATAACTGAATCAAAAGAAAAGTGTAGGAAACACTTGGTCTATAGGCTCTTCAAGATATGATTTCTTTTCCTGTGTGGTTCCAGTAAAAAGAAAGAAGCCATAGCTGAAATACAATTGATTGATTGATTGATTGATTGATTGATTGATTGATTGATTGATTGATTGATTGATTGATTGATTGATTGATTGATTTGATTTGATTTGATTTGATTTGATTTGATTTGATTTCTACTCCGCCCCTCTAGACAATGTCTACTCGGGGTGGCTAACAAATAAAACACAACAATATAAACCAATATAAAATGTTCAAGTTATTTACGATTATAATTACAATATTAACACTTGATTAGAAAGCAAGACATTGCCAAGATGGCATACCAAATAGAAAAAGAAAAGGACTAGGGATGGAAATCACTTAATTGACTGGCTGTTTTCGAGAAATAATATAAATAATGGAATTAGATGTCTGTTATGATGTCTTAAGAACATTCCCACAGATGGTCAGGAATTAGTTTTAATTATTCAAATGGAAGCAGCTGCTGGAAAACAAGCAACACAATTTTGAGCTTTTGGTATACGTATGCTTGTTACTCTATCTTGTGAACAACCAAAAGAGTCTCAAGCTCTGCTTGTTGACCTATCTGACATTTCATTGCTCTCCACTGTACTGAAAACCATAAGATGGTAATCAGATAAAGTACCATAATCACTGAATCATTGGAAAGTGATAGTGGACAGGAGCGAACTCAGCTGAAATGTCAATGAAATTATTTAAAATCAGTATATCTTAGGCGTCAAAAATGATGTGAAATCTAGAGGATAATCTCAAGCTCTGCTTGTTGACCTATCTGACATTTCATTGCTCTCCACTGTACTGAAAACCATAAGCTGGTAATCAGATCAAGTACCATAAGTGATAGTGGACAGGAGCTAGCTCAGCTGAAATGTCAATGAAATTATTTAAAATCAGTATATCTTAGACGTCAAAGATGATGTGAAATCTAGAGGATAATTCCATGCTTTAGTACAGAATAGCTAACTTGATCTGGTCTTGGTTTGGGTAACTGCTTCCATAATAGATCATCAGTGTGGTGTAATTGATAGAATGATGGACTAGGGTTTAGGACGCATAGGTTCAAATCCCCGCTTAGCCAACTCATTTCCCATGTGGAAATGGTAAATCCACTCCTTAAATATTTCACTTATCTTGAAAACCCTATTAAAATCACTGTAGGTCAGTTCTGACTAAACAGCATATAACAACAACTTCCATAATATATATACTTCTGTCCTGGAGGGAGTTACTCCAAACTCATTTGTACATGTTTCCATTCTGTCAAGAAAAGCTAAATGTGATGCTCACTGATTGAATGGTGCCTTGTGATTTCACCAATGTACTTCTCTGTGCTCATAATAATAATTGCCATCAAGTCAATTCTGATTTATGTCAACCCTTTCCAGGGTTTTCTAGGTAGAGAATATACGCAAGTGGTTTGCCCTTCCCTTCTTTTGGGAGTGCCCTGGGAAATGCGTAGCTTGTGCATGGCCACAAAGGCAGGGGCTTCTCCAAGGAGGCACAGTGGGAATTTAACTCCCAATCTCTGGTTCCACAGCCAGATACCTAAACCACTGACCTATCCAGCCAGCTGTCCACATAATTCCTTGAGCATTTTAATTATTATTTTTTCCTCACAAGGTGGAGAAGGATAAACTCTTGTGTATGTCACTCCCATGTACAGCTCTTTTAAAAACAGACAGACAGCTTGACTGCTGCACCATTTGATTTGCCTAATAGTTTACAAGTGAATTTGGTCTCAGTAACCAAGTGATGTTTCCAGCAGCCAGCAGCACTTAGTTTTTACAGGAGCAAAGTAACTATTCCTTTGATACCTGTGGCCAGGTCAGTTTTTCTGTTTAAAATAAATAAGAAAAGAAAGTAGAACATCTGTGTTCTTGTTGCAGTTCCTTCTTCCTCAGCCCAGCTTGGTGTCAGTTTGGAAGAGATAGGTCTGTGCCTTTTTCTGTTTTTTTAAAACTGTTTTCCAGCAGTAGAGTATAAGATTTTTCTCTGTGGATCCCCAAAATAATATGTTTTGTCATTCTGAGCAATATGGACAGCTATGTGAGATGCATTGTAAAATGAGGATCACGTTCCTGATAGAAAACTGACTATTTGCTTTTTGGAACATTACATCTGTCTTTGTCCTCAGTGACAAACTGAAACAGCTCAACAGTTGCAGAGTGTGGGCAGCATACAAGATGAATGAATGAATGAATGAATGAATGAATGAATGAATGAATGAATAGAGCAAACCAAGGAGTGCTTAAAATAATACATTACTTACAGGAGAACAAATGGTTTCTTTGTGCAAACAATTTCATTGTGCTTCCTGCTTTGTGCCTTACAGCCGAGTGGCCCATTTGTTTGAATCCAGATGGAAAAGTATGAAATCCTTGGGCTTGTGGGAGAAGGAAGCTATGGAATGGTGATGAAGTGCAGGAACAAGGAAACTGGTCGGGTGGTTGCCATCAAGAAATTTTTGGAAAGTGAGGATGATAAGATGGTTAAAAAAATTGCCATGAGGGAGATCAAACTTCTCAAGGTGAGCCTGCGGCTGGTCATTTTCGATTTGTGTAGTTCCAGGTTTTTCCCCCCATTTAATTCTTTTTAGAAATTTAGGTTAGGTATAAGAGTGAGGTCAGGCTTGTTGTAAGAAATCACCTTTATAAGATCAACTTCTGAATTTGTCTCCTTTTTTGCTTTCCCACATTGATTGAAAAGTGGTGAAATGTTTTTGTTATTATCGTTTTCTTCAAATGTGATTCAAACTGGAGATGGGCAGGAACAGAGGAACATCTATTTGTCACCACTAATTATGTGTCTTAAGGGAGTACATATGCAGAAATGAATGAAATAAATTGAATTTCACATGCATGCTTATTTAAATGACCCTCTAGCTGAACAATATTTTAAGTGACATTCCAACCATATAACATGCTTCTCTGGCAAAGTAATCAGGGCTTGCATTTAAGTCACGGAGACACCTTATTTTAAACTTTTTTAAAAAGCAGAATACAGTACAACAGAGTTATTGTCTGTGGGATCAAGCCTTCAGTCCAAATTAATACTCAGTAGCTGCTTGCTTCTTAAATGCTGTTTGTTTATATAATTTGGGCAATAATAGCCACATTCATGATGATGTTCTCCGTGGCCACAGGCCTTGTGGAAGTGGAGGAGCTTGTGTTGGGCAATAATAGCCACATTCATGATGATGATGTTCTCCATGGGCACAGGCCTTGTGGAAGTGGAGGAACTTGCGCACTTCACTGATGTTGAGAGCTATGCTGAAGGGTCTCCCAAACCAGACAGGTCTCAGCAGAGAAGCCAGACCAACCATCAATTATGATGTGAGGAAATAAACAGAAATCCATATGGGATTGGTTGTTGCCCGGGTCAACAAGGACCACGTCAGATGCTATAGCCCCTGGACATGTGGTGACAAAAGGGCTACAGGGCTCAGCAGATCCTGTTGAGGAACCAGGACAGGCTGCTGCAAAACTATTGTTGTTGTTTAGTCGTTAAGTCGTGTCCAACTCTTCGTGACCCCATGGACCAGAGCACGCCAGGCCCTCCTGTCTTCCACTGCCTCCCAGAGTTGGCTTAAATTCATGTTGGTAGCTTCAATGACACTGTCCAACCATCTCGTCCTCTGCCGCCCCCTTCTCCTTTTGCCTTCACACTTTCTCAACATCAGGGTCTTTTGCAGGGAGTCTTCTCTTCTCCATTAAAAAATGGCAATATTTCATCACTCTCAAATGATGAAGCTTGTAAATACCTTGGAATACCAGAAGCAGATAATATTGTGCACTCAAAAGCTAAAGAACTGACAGAAAGGTGAATGTATCAAAAGGCTGCAGAAAATCTTAAAATCAAAATTAAATGGTGAAACACAATCAAAGCCATGAAGATACAAATTAAATGGTGAAACACAATCAAAGCCATAAACAGACGGGCAGTTCTGGTAATTAGCTACCCAGCTGGGATAATAGATTGGACCCAAATGATTGAAAAACACAGAAAGTAATGAGCATGCATCAGGCGCTACACCTAAAAAGTGCCCTTTCTAGGGGTGTTTAATCTGCAGTTAGATAACCTAAGTCAGATACTATCTAGCCACCATGTTCTTAGGTATCTGCATATGAGTCATACTGCAGATTGGTACTTAGGTTCCTACAGTGGCATAGTGGCTAAAGTGTGATGGACTAGGCCTTAGGAGACCTGGGTTTGAATCTGTGATTAGCCATGGAAGGTCACGGGTGGTGGTGGTAGCAGATGGTACTGGTAAAAACACTCTTTAAATGCTAAACATGAATATGACTTGTCTGGTTAGTCTGTGGCTTGCTTTGCAACTCTAGTGTTGTGGGTTATCAATGCTGGAAGGATGTTAAGTAGGGATTGCCGTTTTTGTACATAAGCGACAAGCACAGGCCTCAGAAGGCCTTCCAGGCTCTGCAGTAGACGCTGGTCCAAGTGAGTGAAACGTAGGTGTCTGTAGCTGTGGGCTGGAACTCCCAGAATTTTGCCTTGGGAATTCTTGGAGAATTCTGGGAGTTACAGTACAACAAGGAGAGAGAGAAAAAAGAATGGCACATCCTTAGTGGTCAGGGTTACTGAAGTAAAATCTGTGAAGTACATTGAGAACTTAATGCTGACTGGAGATTTCCAGGAGTTCTACTCCAAAAAGTTTCAAGGCGATGAGGAAAACACTGCGTAATGATTGTTAATTATCATTAATATCACAATTAATGAGTACAGTGATTTTGGCAATGTTTAAGTGACAATTGAAGTGCACAGTGGTTAGTAGAAATGCGCACTGGCTGACTGGTACGACTTGAAGGGAAGCTAAAGAGCAATTGAACTATCAGAGCGGCTGCTGGAATTTCTTCTGTGAAGAACCCAGTTTTGTTAATTTGTACACAAGACATTCAGCTCGTGTGGCATTCTTGGAGTGGAGAAGGATGGGTCAGGAAACCAAGCCTGTAGTCCTCTAAAATGGTGACTTTCAATTGTTTGTTTGTTTCTTACTCCTTCTAGAACCTCTGTTCCTTATGGGTTGTGCCTAAAATTTTAGAGTGTAAGGTGAGGGCAGAGACTTTCATACAGTAAATGGCCCATTTGGTGAGTAATCCCGTGAACCTTTTCAGCTGAAGGGTGAGGTATAAATGCATTCAGTAACAGGTAAATGCCAAGGCTGCATTCCTGCTTGTATTTACTTGAGAGTAAGCCCAGCTGAATGCAGTGAGACTTGGTTCCTAATCAACATGTGTCAGTTTGTAAGGCTGCAACAATCAAGGGGCAATTATGGTGAATGTTTTGAGATTCTGTGTACAGTTGAATACTGATGTGGTTTTATGACGCATTTTCTGTCTCCTGATAGCAATTAAGGCATGAAAATCTGGTGAACCTTCTGGAAGTCTGTAAAAAGAAAAAACGCTGGTATCTGGTGTTTGAATTTGTAGATCACACAGTCCTTGATGATCTTGAGATGTTTCCAAATGGCCTGGATTATAACAAAGTTAGAAAATACTTGTATCAGATTATAAAAGGAATAGGCTTTTGTCATAGTCACAATGTAAGTACCCTGCTTTTTCTGTCTAGTTACTTCCATCAAGTAGGGTTTTTTGTTGTTGACACTGCATTTATACATTGTGCTTACTGACACTGTCAGATGAGCTATATATTGGAATAGATGAGAGATAAAGGTGCTTTGTGACTGCTGTGGGGTGTGGGTTCCACCCTCAGAAATATTGGGGTCATTGAGCTGTCCCTTTATAGAGAAATGAACGAATCAGTAGCTGACATTATCATTGTATGAAAGCCTGCTTTTAATCAAGTAGAATGCTTGAAGAAATGTGTCAAATAGCATATGCTGTGAAATACATTTCCTTTTATATTTCAGAGGATTTAGGATACAGGGTTTTCAGTGTAACTATGATAGTTAGGAACAGAGACTGGTGATCCTAATGTAGAAGAAACAATAAGATTGTTGAGTTTGTAACCACCTTTGTCTCAAAGGAATGTTTCCACTCATAGTTTAAGCTGTGATAGGACTTAGAAAGATCTGCTCCAGTCTTGGCTTTCTGTTCCTTTTTCAAAGATAGACATCACTTATGTGTGTATGAGTATTTCTGTCTGTAGCTTCTATATTTATAATAAGATAAGTTGTATGAGGTGCAAGGGTATTCAAAACTGAGTTCAAATCTGTCTCTGAAACTGGGAAAGCATTTTTATAGTAAACCTTACTTTATACAGTGGGGTCTTGACTTGAGAACTTAATCCGTATTGGAAGGCGGTTCTCAAGTCAAAAAGTTCTCAGGTCAAATCTGCATTTCCCATAGGAATGCACTGAAAACCATTTGATCCGTATCTGCTCTTTTCTGTCCATAGAAACTAATGGGAAGCTGCTATTCTGCCTTCGATCACTGGGGGGGGGGATATTTCGTTTCTTTTTTTGTTAGGTCAAGAAAGGTTCAGGGAAGGCAGGGAAAATACAGTCCAGGCAGTACAGTACCAGGCAGCCTGAAGACTGTCTCCCAATCCACTCTCTAAACGCTGGGAGGAGTGAGGAAGCAGACAGGCACCCTTTTCACTGGCCAACAGTTAACTGAAAGTTCAAATTTTGCACTTTCCCTGCCTCCCCCGTGGTTTTTTTCAGTTCTTAACTCAAATCTAAGTACTTAAGTCAAGTCAATATTTTCCTATGAGAGTGGTTCTTAAGTCAAAATGTTCTTAACTCAAGCCGTTCTTAAGTCGAGACCCCACTGTATAATCTTGAACTTTTGAGAAACAGTAGTTCTCAGTTGTGTAGAGAGAGCTGTCTATATATGCAGCTGTACATGTGTGTGGGCTGAGGGTAGTAAATGACGTTCCACTCATTTATTTTTTATTCTGTTTTATTTAAAATATTTGTATGCCTCCTTTCTCCTAAAGGATACAAAGTGGCTTGCAGTATTAAAAGAAACAAAGTAAAAAGCTAAAATAATAAATTATTACAGTGTTTAAAAAGTAGTAAACAGATATATTTAAACTCATAAATAAGAATTATATTAAAAGTTCAAGTGAAAAAACAGAATAAAACAATCCTTTTTAAAAATCACATTGGTCAACCAGTCATTTAAAGCAAGTCTGTGTAAAGAGAAAAGCATTTGTGAAAGGATAGCAAAGATGGGGCAAAGCTATCCAGGCAAGTTCAGAAAAGATCTGAAATCATCTGTTGCTAATGTGTGGATTTTCTATAACAGTTTGGTCTTGTTACTGGTTGTATAACCGTTTCATTAGCATATTATTTTAGTGTATCCCATAATAAGTATTAATGCCTTAAAGGCACTGTGTGGAAGGTAATCTAATGCTATTGATTTTTGAAAAAAAATCTCTGATGGTCCCTTTGCATATGCAAGTCATGAAATGACAAGCCTGTTGTCCTTACGTCTTCCGTCATAAGAACATAAACCTACTTTATGGTTCACTGTTCACAATACATTGATGGGATTACAGAGCCTTTGCTCATTTGAATACACATTTCTGTTTTAGATTATACACAGAGATATTAAACCAGAGAATATATTGGTGTCCTGTTCCGGAATCATCAAACTCTGTGACTTTGGGTTTGCTCGAACGCTGGCTGCTCCAGGGGAAGCTTACACAGATTATGTGGCAACACGGTGGTATCGAGCGCCTGAGCTGTTGGTTGGAGATATCAAATATGGCAAGTAAGGAACTGGAGGAGTTGGCATGAACTTGTTCTTTTATTGGCCAGTTCATTTTAACAACTGTACAAGACTTACAAAATGAGTATTACTAAATTATACCCAACTAGGGATTTGCCGCTGTAGGCAGGTTGTTCTTGCAATAACCTTCTGATGGCTGTAACTTGTGCTTCCACTTTGCGGGTGCTCAAACACAATCAGTTTGTGTTGCCGTTATTATGAAAGTAGGTGGCAGCCATAATTGCTGTTGTGCAAAATATATTCTTGGGATCCAGTCTTTCAGTTTTGTTTGAATACATGTTCCATGTTTAATCCAGCAACGTATGTGGCAGGAGTTTTCTTGAGTTCCACTAATCAAATGCTTTCCAATATAAAAAAATATTTATGGACATAGAAAGGAAAGATGTTAACCTTTTGCCCAGCACAGTAGTTTTCTGTAAGCAGGGAGAATTTTTCTGTAGAAAAAGTCAAAGGTAAAGCCATCACTACAGTCTGAAAGTACATCTTCACACAATGCATCATTAATTGATTATCTGGTAACAACTAATTCAGATTATTTTAAGAACTGATTAGACAAATTGAAGAGAGGAGAATAGATCTAGTGATGCTATTTAGCTGTAACAGCTAAATTAAACCTCCATGTTCACATGCAATCTATCACTGAATAGCCATTGGCGAGGAGCAAACAACAAAAGAGAGTAAATTAAACCTCCATGTTCACATGCAATCACTGAATAGCCATTGCCGAGGAGCAAACAACAAGAGAATGGTTGTTGTGGGGTTTCTCGGGCTCTTTGGCCATGTTCTAGAGCTCTTTGGCCATGTTCTGGAGGTTGTTCTTTCTAACTTTTCGCCAGTTTCTGTGTCCGGCATCTTCAGAGGACAGGGCAAAACACTGTGAGAACTAATTCTTTGGCCATGTTCTGGAGGTTGTTCTTTCTAACTTTTCGCCAGTTTCTGTGTCCGGCATCTTCAGAGGACAGGGCAAAACACTGTGAGAACTAATGTAATTATACATCTTCAGAGGACAGCAACCTGCGCTCTGAGAGAAGTTAAACCAGGGCAAAACACTGTGAGAACTAAAGTAATTATAAATTTATTCCAGTTCATATACTGTTGACCTGTAATTGTCAAAGTAAACACTGGAAAGTGTGGCAAGGAGTAAAGTACCAACACACACAAAAAAAATTCAGATTAGGTTTTTAGTAGTATCAACTATTTTTCCACTAATTAACAGGGCCAGTAAGGTTTGGGGGAAAGGGGGAGTCTTGAAGCTGGTTGCTCAGTTGATACATTTTAAAAAGTCAGTGGTTTTGCTTGTCTATTTTACAGTTCATACAAACTTCATGGCTGAGTTTTGTATTTAACCCGAAAACCTAAGCCTCATTCAGATTTAACTCATAGTTAATAACAATTTGCATCCAAACAAAAGAATGAGAGCTCTTAAAGTCAAAGCCATTGTTGTTGAAAAAACACACACCACTTTTCTAGCTTCTCAGTGCTGTTATCAACATCAGTTTTAATTTTTGTTTTTTAGGTACAGGCATTACTAGGCACACAGTGATATAGGTTCCTCATCTATTTTAGCTCAACCCTTGTCTCATAGCTTGCCTGTTTGCTTTCTCCCTTCCAGCTCCTGTACAGGTTGCATTCTAGCACACACTTAGCTCTCACTCACTTGCTGGTCTGCTTTAATTCTGTAAATAATTTCTTGTCCTGGCATCAGATAGCTGACAACAATGAATTCAGGGGTATTCATTTATATGCAAAAGATGAGTACTACTCTTAGGAGAGCAGGAATGGGACAGGAGGGCATGATATTGCTCAGGTTCCTGTGTGCTGCACGCCCTGCTATCCTGTATCAAAGATACAGTATATTGTCCTGTATTGAAGATACAGCATACTTGGGGCAAAACTTGGAAAAATTGTTTTTTAAAAAAGATGCCAGAATCCTCCAGCCAGCATGTCCAGATTATTTGTAGAAGATCCATTTTGCCAAAGCTTTCTCTCTATTAACTATTTCTGTTTGCTTCCCAGAGCTGTTGACGTGTGGGCCATTGGGTGCCTGGTAACAGAAATGCTCACGGGAGAGCCCCTTTTCCCTGGAGACTCTGATATTGACCAGTTGTACCATATTATGAAAAGTTTGGGTAAGGTAAACATTTCCTTGTTTTACACCCTGTAGCTAGTACAGCTGTTGCATATTCCAATCAAAGATCAAGAGTGAAGGAAGGGATCTTATACATAACCATATTGGATGAGATACTAATGGTGAACCTCGCTGCCATTACTACCTCTTGGACCAGGATGCCATCCGGAACTCCTACCGTGAAGTAAACTGAAATGGCTGCCTGCCTGATTTCGACAAGAGATCTTGGATGACCTTAAGGGTAGCAGAACTGATTAGTAGGTCACAGTGTGTCCTATGCATGTCTACTCAGACATAATCGGTGTTATCTTAAGAACTAGGTGAGTGGGGCATGCCATCGCCCAAATGGTCCAGAAGCTATTCAGTCCCCAAATTGCACCTGGAAATAATCTTGATTGAATTCAGTTGAACTTCTCGGTTAGTGTGTATTGGATTGCAGTTTAGATGTGTTGTTGTTGTTTTTTACCATCTTTTTCAGTTCATGTGGAAAGACATGCAGAGTTGATAACAACATTAAAAAATGAAACATAGCTGCAAAGCTACTGGCAGTCTGGTAGAATCAAATCCAAAACACCAGATTAAAAATCAAGTACTGCATACCAGCAGTAGATTTGAAAAGCAAAGGCATACTGAAGGCTAATGCATACGAAAGTGTCTATACATTAAAAGAGAAGGGCCCTGTCACATTTTCATGGGAAATGTATTTGACAGTCCCTGTGCCACTGCTGAAAACAGCCGGCCAAAGGTTATAGTCCCATCTGCTCTCACATAGCAGTTGGTCCCTAAGAGAACTGCTAGTGATGATCCTAAGTGGCAAACAGAGAATTTCAGGAAGTCAGCTCAAGGTTGAGTCAACCTTCCATCCTTCTGAGGTTGGTAAATTGAATGCCAAGATCATGGGGAGTGGGGGTGGGCACAGTATGTAGCCAGCATAATTAAATTGTAAACCACCCAGAGAGTGCTTTAAGCATTATGTAGCGATATATAAGCAGCACACTTGACTTTCTCTGAGTTTCAGATAATGATCTGACCATCTCATTTCAAACTGTTTGAAGTTTCTGGGTTATACTTAAATATAGCTCCATAGAGAAAGCATTGTAGTCACTAATCCTAACTCATTGGAAAACTCTCCTGGTGAGGCCCACTAATGTTTGTAAGAGGAGCATTGGTAACTGCAGCCCACCCTACGATACCTTTTTCTTGACCCATCATCAACTCACTGTGGAAACACAGCGCTAGATTTAGAGAAACCTTTGGTCTGATCAAACCTTTGGTCTGATCATCTGGTTTTGGTAGTGGTGGTCTTCTTCCTCTTCCTCGTCAGCCCTATCAGAAGGATCTTCCAGGACTATCTGCTCCTGATGCAGGGGAACAGGTGTTTCTTGGGTGACCCTGTCCATGGTGATGGTGGTAGCATTCTGCAAAAATGCCTCTTGAAATGCAGCCACATGTCATAATGTGGAGGGGTTTCTCCACCTTTCCCTTTTCCATAAGTAGGGGAAATGAACCATTTTGCATAACAAGGCACACAGCACAAGGGAGGTGAGATGCTTCAGGCAGGCTTCAGTTTGATTATCTAGGCTCTTGTCAAGACTGGACATTAGATGTTCCTTTTATTTTTCACCTATCATGATGCTTATTTTTATCATAGAGAGACAAGATATAAATGTTAATGTGCTGCCAGGTTGGAACCGACTCACAGTGAGTCTAATTAGAGCTTTTGAAGTAAGTGAGATATTTAAGGAGTGGCTGTATTACCACTTCTAAGTATTCTGTACCTGGAAGACCCAGAAGAGACTAACATGGCGTTTTGTAAATTCCAGGAAACTTAATTCCGAGGCACCAAGAATTGTTCTATAAAAATCCTCTCTTTGCTGGAGTGAGGTTGCCTGAAGTCAAGGAGCTCGACCCTCTTGAAAAACGATATTCTAAGCTCTCTGTCACAATCATAGAATTTGCTAAGGTAAATAACCCACCTTATTTTTCCAGTTTACTCCTGTTTGCAGAGCCATTTCTTTATTTTTGGGGGTGCTTATTAATAAATTGGGAAATGTCAGGGAGTGTGGAGATCTAGAGCTTGAGCTGGGAGGAACAGAGACTGGAGCGTCATTTACTGTATTCTGTTACATTTATGCCCTGTCTCTCTGTTAGTGAGCTCTAAATGGCATCTGTGGCTCCCCCCCCTCCACTCTCATCCTTATTGCAAATTTGTGAAATGCTGTAGGAGTGGCTGAGAGAAGGTACCAGTCAGAGGTTACCTATGGAGTTTCATGACCAAAGGGAATTTGAGTGCTCCCCTCTTGAGTCTTAATCCAGCACTCTAACTATTGCCTAGTGAGCTACCTTATATTTTGTGTGCCTGAATCTCAGAGGCCTCTTCAGGCACAGAGGGGAATAGGAAGGGCATCTGTCAGCTTGGCACACAGTGTAAAACCTCAAAGATAGTTAAGTGCAGCTTAACAAAGATAGTTAAGATAGAAAACAAAAAACAGATGCCTGATATCTCTCTGGGACTGCCCACACTCGCCATTTTGGATATGGGGTAAACTTCGACCCTCTTGAAAAACGATATTCTAAGCTCTCTGTCACAATCATAGAATTTGCTAAGGTAAGTGCTGTAGGAGTGGCTGAGAGAAGGTACCAGTCAGAGGTTACCTATGTAGTTTCATGACCAAAGGGAATTTGAGTGCTCCCCTCTTGAGTCTTAATCCAGCACTCTAACTATTGCCTAGTGAGCTACCTTATATTTTGTGTTCCTGAATCTCAGAGGCCTCTTCAGGCACAGAGGGGAATAGGAAGGGCATCTGTCAGCTTGGCACACAGTGTAAAACCTCAAAGATAGTTAAGTGCAGTGAAAACAAACAACAGATGCTTGATATCTCTCTGGGACTGCCCAGACTCGCCATTTTGGATGTGGGGTAAACTGGGCTACAAAGAGTCTATTGAAATGTGGTGAGGGGAGCAATGTGCCATTTAGTGTATTCCTCTCATCTGAACAGTAAATTACCCATTGTAGCCAATCAGCTGTCACTTAAATGCTTCCCCCGATTGAGTGCCATTCCATTTTCTCCCTTCCCCGCCCCACTTTCCTTTCTCTCCCCACTTTCTCTCTCAAACTCTCAGAATCTATGGCTGCTGGAGGCACCTATCTCACAGCTAAACAGAGCGTGTGCCAAAAAGAATGCATGCCCTACTACTGGATCAGAAAATTGCATGACAGCTCTTAATAAGGGAGGATAGATAATTCTAAGTAGAAACACTTGTGAACAAGGGTCTTTTTTTTTTAGCATTCAAATCATGCCATCTGCAATCCATATACCGCATCTATATGGCAGTGTGGACAGGGCCACATTCTGGTGCTCTCCATTCCCTGGTTTATATAGTGATAGACACACAGTGTATATCATATATGCAAGGATGTACTAGGCGAGGCTCCGCCCCTTGCATGTATAACTCCACTCCCCCAGCATTCAACTCAGCCCCCTCACATGGGTTTCCATCACAACTAGAACCATAGGGGCAGGAAACGATCACTGTGGATATGTGGCGGATGAGGAACCTTGCATGGAGGGGGTGGAGTCACGCACTCTGATGCAGCTGCACACCTTAGAGGGAATTTTAGTACCGTATTTTTCTATGTATGAGATGCTACTTTTTCCTAAAAGCATTACACTAAAAATTGAGGGGTGTCTTTTACACGGAAGTAAACGTGTTTTAAAAAGAGGCCTGACTAACTCAGCAATAGATATCAGTTCTTTTTATTAAGTACATACTTATGTCATGCCATTCATATTCATGAACTGATTTGCATGAACCTATGAGAGGACTGGAGAGGCAGAGTCAGCAGCTACATGAGGTTTGGCGGGAGAAGGAGGAGTCAGATAGGACTGGTTCGTCAGAGAGAGGGAACAGATACTGAGAGAGACAGAGCTGGTTAGGAAAATAGAGAAGGTAGTAATGATATAGCAAGAGAAAAGAAGTGTGTACTGAGAGAACTGTTGATGCTTTGCTTATGTATAATGTGTTTCTGAAGAACCTCTGTTATTATTCAGTCTGATTCACTTCAGTAAATAAGTTCTGTTTCTGTTCACAAGTCAAGTGTTCAGACAAACGTCATTTATATTGTGGATCGAAGTAATTCACTGGTGGCAGCGAGAGGAAAACGTGACGTGAGCTTTTTTGAGGGAAGGACAAGCAGGGGCCACAAGGGCGAACAGCACAGGGCCACTGGAAGAGTGGCGGGAGCTGCGTAGGAAGGAGGATTGTTTCTATTTTCGTGGAGATCTGGTGGCTTAAAGGGTGGCAAAATCTGAGGGGCTGTTGGAAAGTTAGCTAAGGACTGGGCTAACAAAGGGTTCGCGATCTTTAAAATTGCATCCCGGCAAATATGCCATGTATGGAGGACTTTAACTGGAGCAACAGGGTCTTTGTGCAATTTATTCCCAATTTTACCCCAATCTGAAAGCTTAAGGCTGCCCTCTTCTTGATACCAAGGACACTGAGTACCTATTTCTGTCAATAAATCCTCTACCAAGACAGATACACCATGGTGGCCTCCTTTATGGAGCAATTAAATCAGATCCTTTTTATGCTGAATCTGAAGCGCTGTGAGAATGTTTCCCATCTTGTACTATTACTCACTGGGATCCAAAAGGATGCTAGGATGCGTCTGGAGCCCTTGCCGGGCGAGGGGAGCTGCTTTCATTGCCTCAGGCGATGTCCCTGTTCGGGCACCAAATGTGGTGATCACGGAACAAAGGAAAGGCTAATTGCCTTGGTGAGAGAGAACAAAGGAATCGACAGCAGATGTCCAAATCAGCAGAGCCTACTGGCAACACCCTGAGGGCTCTTTTTATTGACTTAGCATGATTACACAGTATGTTATGAGAGAAACAAATAGGATAGTGGTTACCTAATTCTTAACTAGGATTGGCTAAAATAACCCTTTGGTCTTATTCTCTACCTCTAAGCGAAAGGGCAGAAGAAGGGTCTACCCCGGCTGCTGGCAGCTGTCGCTTCCTGCCAGGAGTGTGTGCACGCCACTGAAACAGAATGCAGCTACAGCCTTTAGCCAGGAGTTTCCCACAGTGCCCCCATCCACTTCCAGCTCCAGTTTGGTTTGTTTAAAATGTTGTTTGTTTTTTACGAAGAGGATTACTCTTTGCAAAACACAGGCAGGCTTTGACTATATACAGAACTAGCAGATATGTTATTTGGATCTCATGCAATACCTGGATTCAGCTCCAGCAACCTTACTTTTAATTCTACTGTATATTAAAGCGGGGTGAAATCTTATTTCAGCGATGTCTGCAGACTGATCCGGATAAAAGACCATCTTGTTCTGAGCTCCTGCAAAGTGACCTGTTTAATAAAGATTGTTTTGCTGAAAGGTGAGTGGATTTTTCATGTTCAGTTCAGCTGTGCCTTGAAAAAAGAGATGCCAAGATTTCCTAAATGCATAAGAAATGTCTACTTCATTCTTCTCAAATGCATGGAAGACAAACCTCATTTTTGAGAGGAACTATACATTGATGGATGTGTAAGGTTCTGAAACTGTGAAGTCTGAGGACGAGACTGTTACAGAGTAGACAAAGTGAGTAGAAAGGATTTTGCTTAATGCCTCCCCTGTATGCTGATTTTCCTTTGCAGCTCCAACCTGCAGCTGCTTAGTAGGAAACCTGGCCTCAGAGAGCCTGCATCTTTTTTCAGGTACATATGCTGAGGAAAGGTTAAGTGTTGCTTGTGATGGCCACCCCACCAGTTCTTCCCTGCAGATCCTTCCCCATCACCTGGTTTCTCTGTCAGAAGTGTACACTAGTTTTGGAGTTCCATGATGGCCCTTAAATGTCTACTTTGAATGCTCTACAACTACTAGGAACAAACAAAATAAAACATTTGTTGGATTATTAATATTGGGTAATGCACATTGTCCCAAAAGAAAAGAGACTCAGGTGTCTGATGTTCTCTTAATCTGATACATGTTTTTGTTGGTTGATTAATTAATTAATTAATAAAAGTTCCGTATTGATTGTGTCTTCTTTGCCTTTTAAAAATGAAAAAATAAGGTTTGCTCAGGAACTTAAAGCAAAGATTCAGAAGGAAAGAGATCATCCTTTGTCCAAGAAATCAAAAATAAGCAGAAAAGATAAAGATGATTCTGGTGATGAAAGAAAAATGCTTGTAATCCAGGTTAGTGGAGCTCTTGTTTCATTTGCTTGTTTGTTTACTTGCTTAAAAATATTAAACAAGTAAGTCCAGATATACTTACTTGTTGTCTATTGAGTGAGAGGGTGGAATCCTTATGGTTACCTCAGTGCTTTGGGCAAAATAGAGGATGTAGTATTAGAAATTAAAGTGTTCAGCTGTGTCCTGTTATGAGAACTGACATATGACAGTAATTTAAAGATGCAGCTTGTGCAGATTTCTGGTGGTGATGGTACATTAATAGTGCACCTAAGATTAATAGTTCACCTAAGTTTCGTCTACCACAGCAGATTTAATCTGGTGGCTTTCAACTAGATTTATGGAGAATGGAGGAGAATAAGAAAGACCAAGGACAATTTTTGATCTTGCTATTAGATGTGTGTCAGGAATGTATAGAGAGAGTTCTAGTATGAAGATGGGCAAAGGACCTGTGGCTAAAGCTAGTTTTTACTCCCAGCTAATGTAATTAATGGTACTTGTTAAAGTCAACATGCTTCTAAGTCAGAGTGATTCAATAGGTCTAATTCAGTTGGGACAGACAATTGAAATCAGCCCTTGGAAGATCTTACCCACTTCTCTGTTTGGCTCTTATAACTGGAGATAAGCTCCAGTTTGCTACTTGTCATAAATTTCTGCTATACTCCTATCAGATACAAGTCTCACTTTTCTTTAGTATAAGTTAGAACAAACAAATCAAATACCCCCACATTTATGTTAAATGTTTGCTGTAGTGTGTAACAGCATAATGTGTTTATCTGTAGTTGTAGAATGAAGGAACTGAATTGTAATTTCTTTTATGCCTAGAAAGAACTGTATTTTTCTCCACATCATTCCCCTGGTTGTGCCAGTTGATGTTGATTTTATAAAAAATATTTGCCTTCTATAACCTTCATTTAATGTCTGTAAAATATTGTTACTTGTACTCTAATTCATTGTTAGCACTGCAACGTTTGTGGTTTGAAACAGGAGTTCAACATGGATTCAAAGATCAGAGACTCCAAGCTGTTCAGAACAAAATTGTCCAAGGCTGAGTTAGAGAAACCAGACAGATGTTCAAACACAAGTTTTCTATATGAGAACGGAACTGGACAAGTCAAAGCAATTCCTCAAGCAACCTTGAAAGATTCAAGTAGCAGCCTGGATTACGTAAAGAATTCTAGCATGGTGATTCCTCCTATTGCACAAAATTCTTCCATCATGCCAACAGGCATCAGTGGAACCCCTGGCGTAGGGGTAAAATTGGGCACTCATAATTACAGGTACAACACCAGAGTAAAGCTAGAAAATATATGTCTATGTTACACGTTAGCTTTCTCCTCTCTACTATAGTTATGGCCCAGTCTGTTTAGAATGCATCTAATTCCAACTGTGGGCTGCTTAACTTAGAACTTTACTTTTCTATAAGATGTTTTAAACAGGCGCCTGAAGATGTAAAGTGTAATAAGGCAAACAGTCTTAACTCTACCAGATGCAGTAATGTATTAGCAATGAGCTGGAGCTCCCTGCAGAACATATAGTTAGAGACACAGAACTAATGTATTCTCGAAGGCTTTCACAGCCGGGATCTGATGGTTGTTGTGGGTTTTTCGGGATATTTGGCCGTGTTCTGAAGGTTGTTCTTCCTGACGTTTCGCCAGTCTCTGTGGCCGGCATCTTCAGAGGACTGGAGTAGGAACTCTGTCCATGCTCTGTTGCTGTTTGTTGGATAGCTAAGTATTTATAGCCTTGGGAACATCTTTTTGTCCTTTTCAGGAGACAGGGTGATCAGCATGTTTTTGCTATGATAATGGAGGGGGAGATTATCTGTCACTGTAATTGATGGGTATCGTTATCTGGTCTTTTTTGTGCAATGATCCCTGGTCCTTGTGGCTGGGTAGAGTTCGTTGACCTTTTGCAGGCTGTATTATTCAGTATTAGAAGCCAGGCCTTGTTTAGTTTGAGACCTTCTTCTGTTTTGTTGAAGTTCTGTTGATGTTTATGGATTTCAATGGCTACCCTGTGCAGTCTAACATAATGATTGCTGGTGCTGTCCAGTACTTCAATATTGGACATAAAATTCTATTTCAAAATACTGATATTCTCAGATATATATAGCAATACTTTTGGCTGATATTCAGCGGTCCTCCATGATCATGTTATGGATGGCTTTCACATTTGCAGGCACAGAGATAGAAACAGGCCTTCCACTGGGTTTCTTACTTTCAACACCGAAATGGCCAGTTTGATAACTCAAAGTTTAACTGTTGCATATGAAGGGCCACTGTCACCCATAGTTTGTGACATTTCATCATGGATCTGCTTTGCACCTTTCCCTCAGAGAAACAGGAACTTGATTATGGTCCTTGATTGTGCTCTTCCACATTGAACTTTTCTAGAGGTGCTGCCATGTTCACTTTGGACCTGAACATGAAAGATAACTTAAAATCATAGGTAGTTGATTTTTGCATCATTGAATACAGACAAATTGGCGAATACACCCTGCAATTTATAGCTTCCTAGCTCAATTTTTTTCTGGGAAAGGCTCAATACTTATCAGCACCCCCTTGCACATGTCTGGACAAATGGAAGTTGTAAATTGTGAGATGATCAGTGATAACTGAAATTGAGAAAATATAGGCATTGATAATGACCTGAACAGTAGTCCTTAATAAAACATTAGGAGGGAGCCAGAATACCTACATCCTTCCACTGACAAGCTGGTTAACATCTCTTAATCTGGGTCTGCGACAGTCTGGGTTCTTTGTCTTTATCATTGTGGTGAAATCTCTTTCCTGGTGAGTAATTTTTTAAAAAATTAGACAGCTATCTGTAAGTGCATGCCTAACACGGAAAGCTTATGAGAGATCTGTCATTGTCTAGGTTGTAGATCATTAGTATAACATTACAGTCCTTTTAGCTGGCATTAGGTGACAAGTGGTGCTTTGTTTTTATTGTTTTTTCTGTGGTACATGAATCTCAAGTCTGGCCTTGTTAGTCTAGTTTTTCTTTTTCTTACCTGAATACTATAGTATGAGAAATGCCTGATTTAAATCCTTGAGTTGTGTGTAAGTCACTTCTGGATGTGCCTGAATCAGTACAATTGTATCATGAGGATTATTGTAGACAGTGGTTTTTGTGGTACATTATGGATCAAAGCTGGAAGCATGTAAAATGGGTAGCTTTGGGATGGTTTCCAATTTAAGGTAGTATTTATATCTTCATTATGTAGTTGCCCCACAGAAAGTGAGCCTCCCATGTATGCTGGTCTAGGCTTGGATTGATGATAGGATGGACATTAATAAATCTTTGAGGAAATTTGTCAGGGCTTCCTTTGTGTGAGTCCAAATAATGTCAATAGAATACAGTATATCATATGGAGAAGAGGCATTTCGGAATAGGAGCTGAGAAAGCACTGTGCTAAGATAGCTATGCAAGTGCTCACATATTGTGGTGTTGCTGAAGTAGGTTCTCCCACATAATTCTTTTTTACTTTGCTAGAATACAAAGTGAAGCACTTGGCGGTCAGTGTTAAGCATGTTAAGCCTCATAGAACATTTCCATTGGTCAATGAACTATTCATGTGCGCACCTGTGGAAAACAGGATGCTAGGCATTCGGTTTGACTTTATATTCAAAGAATCACATAGTTCAGTATTGATAAACAACTGGACTCAAAATAGGTCTCATTGTTTTTTGTTCTCTGGAAGCATACAGACAAGTAGATCAGTGTATTAGACAAACTGTCAGTTGTTCCTTTGTGGGTTGAATAACCATGTGGTCTCCAGATAAGTGAGCTGTAACCTACAAAGATTAAACCATAACAAATTTGCTATCATAAAACTCTTTGCCACTGAGAACTAAGCCAGCCCCATAATTTGAATAACACTTCCCTAGGCTTCCTTGTCTTGCTTAATTTCCTGCTTGACACTTAAGGTAGCATACCTGGGGCTCTTAGCAGTCTCTCCTTTCAATTCTGACCCAGACAGAGACCTAACTAGCCTCAATGTTGCTGTATCATGTACCTTTCATGGGCTAAGATAGATTTGTTTCCAAGTCCTATTCACAGAATGTGAAAAGTAGCTTTTAAAACTTTTTTAAATACTAGCTTTTAAAATAACATTTGTCACAACAGGATAATTGTTGTGTGTATTTCTAGGATTGATGAAAAGACAAAAATATACTTCAGTCCTTTCATAAAGCAAGGCAGAAAATCTCCAGCAGGACATTATAGTGTGAACTTGGCAGCATCGGTAAGATCCTTGAAATATTATTTAGTAAGAATAACACTCAGACAATGAATATGCTATGTTTTAATTGGGTTGCTTTGGAGGTTTCTTATGAATGTTTCTGAGCAGGTTTTGGTACTTTGCGATTGTATTACAAACCTGTTGGTACTTCTTTTTAGTGTTTGGATGCTGCCCTTGTGGCTGCATAAGTGTCAACTGCAGAAGAATGAATTCACTGTTACTGTGGCTTGATATTTGGAGAATGACTTCACTCTTATTGTGGCCTACGATAATCCCGGTATATTATGGAAAATACTCTGTAAAACATCTAAATATATATCACTGGTTTATTTTAGCAGTATTAGGTTCAAAGTTCATTTGTGTCCAATAACTATTTGGTAGCAGGTCTCAAATGAAAACAGTGTCCTTCAGATGAATAAGAAAAGATGGGAGTTTTCCAAAACGGATGTGCGTTTGCCAGAGCTGAACTATAGCCATCTCCCTGAACTGAAAGGCTTGGATGGTAAGAACTTCTGATACATCCAAAGGTGTATTGTCTGGAGAGTTAAAAAAAAGATTTATGTTCAAAAATAAAAAGGGGGGGGAAATGGTGGTCCATTTTCTGTCAAACATTTATGAAATTAATTTGTTTAAATCAAGGCAGTGTGATGCACATAAGTCAGAGTCAGGAAGTATGAAGACCTTCAGATGTTAAAGAATAATAATAATTGTGTGCCAACAAGTTGATTCCAACTTACGGCAACTCTTTCCAGGGTTTCCAAGGGAGTGGGTATGCAGAAGTGGTTTTTCATTCTCTTCTTCCAGTTGTGGCCGGAGACTGTGCAGCTTGCTGTGCAGATTGGCACTTCTCCCAGGAGGCATTGTGGCAAATCAAACTCCTAACATCTGGATACCTAAATCGCTAAGCTATCCAGTCAGCTTCAGATGTGAATGTACTATAAATATAAATAATTGTGTGCTGTCACTGACTTATGGTAGTCCTTTTCAAGGTTTTCTAGGTAAACAATACGCTGAAGTAATTTACCATTCCCTTCTTTTTGGGGGGGTGCCCTGGGACTATGCAGTCCCTTCTTCTGGGGGGGTGCCCTGGGACTATGCAATTTTCCCATGGCTACAGAGCTGGCTTTTCTTCCAGGAGATAGAGTGGGAAATCGAACTCCCAGCCTCGGGGAGTTAAGCATCTAGTATCTGTTACGTTAAGTATCTAGCCAGATACTTAAACCACTATCTGCTACTACTTTAAATGGGACTAGTGGATATTGTAGTTCAGCTGTGCTTGGAAAGCCACACTCCTGTTACCCACTCCTGACAAAAGTGAATGAAGTTCAGTCTACCCTATTAAAACTGGATACACCCAGATTTTAAAACCAGCAGTTCAAAATGTTTTTAGAAACTCGTTTTGTTGTTTTTTATTTCTAGAAAAATCTTTTATGTGAAACCACTTATGCGACTATAAATGCATAGACAGTCTGTTTCATCAGTTCAGTGTCATGTTTTTGTCTGTGTAAATTGATCTCCCATCTACTAGATCTGCAGCAGATAAAAGCAGTCATGGTGCCCATTTGCTGAGCTAGGCAGAGTGATTTTAGCTCAGGTTTTCCCACTCCACATCCTTACTTCTTGTACTCTTTCTTCTGAAAAAAAAAGTCATCTACACAGATACAAAAGCAAATAACAAGTCACACAAAATGAACCACATTAATTTAAAATTATGCCAAGAAGAAATGACTGGCAAATAACTTAAGTGTTTAAATAAGTCAAATAAAACCTATGGCTGCCGTTGTTGCGCCATGATTTAAGCCACGAGAAGAACACCACTTTTGCAAAATGATGATGATGATGTTCATAATTAATGTTAAAAAATGAAGTTTTTTTGGCTGTGTTTCCTCCATGTGTAGCTCGGAGTTCCAGGTTCCTGAAGAAAGAAAACAAAATTGTTTTGGAGTCTCGTATGCCATCTCTTGCCGCAATAGATATACAAAACCCAAGTCTAGCACTGCACCAGGTACTCATTGCTCTAAGTCGGAGAGGGGAATGGATGCACGTCCAGTTTGTTGTGTCCCATTAATGATGCTATCTTGTTAAAACACACACACACACACCCTGTGTGGATGTCTTGAAAGTGGAGCTAGCAGGTCGTTCCTGTAAGCTGTGTATCTGTAACATGCAGGGTTGGCTTCCTTGACAGAAAACAGGATGTTCCTTAGGGAAATGTGCTTCCCTTTGGTTAAAAAAAAAAAAAGAACAAATAAATTTTTAAAAAGCAGTCTCTTTGCTGGGTTTTTCTGAAAATAAAAAAAACCAAGATCATAGTGTCATTTTATAAATTTTATGTAGTCAAATTTAGAATATAGTTTACCGTTTTGATTATCACATATAGAAAAGGGTGAAGCCAGAGAGTGTTCAGAAAAAAGATAAGTAATATTATTGTGGGGTTGGACCTTTTTCTGTATCAGTAAGAGCTAAAGATTTGAGACTTTTTAACATAAAAAAATTACTGATGGGCACATAATAGAGGTTTATAAAATATTGTGAATCAGGTGTTGAAGAGAGTGGATAGGCATTGTAGCTCTGAAAACTGTTTGCCTGTCCTTATTTCTTAAGTGTGGTGTTGTGCTAAAACTAGTTGCAAACATTTGTTTTAAATTTAGTTACATTTTATTTGATTTACAGGTATCTGGAACCTCCTTGCAAGATACATCAGAAGCCACTTTCCCCAGAGTAGAACATTAGCTACATGTAGGACTAAAAATTCATGTCACCTAGTTCTGTAGCATTTCTGCACCCTGTTACCCTTTGAAAGTTTGGGGACTGTTTTTGTGGCTGTACTCAGTGGCCGGGTGGGGGCAGATGTTTTCGCTGTGTTCTGGTGGTAATGACAGTAAAAAGGAAAAATGTGTTTTCCAGTTATTTTGTGGATGCTAAGGTGCTACGGTTGCAGCTCCCTTTGTAGCATCATGCATACCTATATAATACCATCTCAGATTAGTTCAGTTTGCCTAGGGGATTTAGATTCATGAAATGCATTAGCAAGGTGGTGGGAAGGAAAGAATTTCCTACAAGTGAAGATACCAGTTGTTCATTAGTTTACCAGTGCTAGCTGACATCTGCGATGGTCATGACAGATTTCCTCTACACAGTTGTCCTTGGGCCTCATGTGAAGCCAAAATAAGATGTGAATACAGCAATGCTGCTAGATTGTGAGACTGTACTTGCAATCTTTTGTAGCTATGTGTACATCTTTTTGGCATTTGAGTCTATGCTGCTGAATTTTAGCTGTGCAATCACAGGTGTCCATCCAGAGAAGACCGCACAGATAAAATTCAGCAGCACCAACAGATGCATAGACTGGCCTTTGCAGTCCATTCTTCCTCCTCTCATACATAGTCCATAGTTTTAATATAATCAAAATTTCATGGTGCTGATTTTTAACATTGTGACAGCTTTTTGTAAATAGAAATAAATCCCATATAGCTGTCCTCCTCGCACCTTATCCAAAAATCTGAATTTATTGTTGTATTTTCTAAAGAATCTTTTTTATAACAAACCCCATCGAAGCTATTAGAAGAGTCTGTCTGTAAATACCTGTGTTGTGAGCTTTTCACCTTAGTAATGCAATATTTTCAGCACATTTTAAAGTGTTTTGAACATTCAGTTTTGTGACATTATAAGGCATCATGTACACTGATTACATTTTAATATAACTACTACAGTAATGGTAGTTAACCAGTAGCTTTTCACATCATAGTGTATTATAGCTGTACTATACCATAGATGTAAATCAGTTCAATAATGATTGGTTCTTCCCAAGGAATCTGGGGCACTGTGCAGTGTTTCCAATGTGCATTAGAAGCGACATTCCCTGGATTCTTTGTTGGAAGCCATGAGAATTAAACTATAAGACAAATACATGTTTGTATCCTATATCATTTGTTCCCAAACTTGGGGATATTCCCTCTCTCGGGCATGAAGAAATTCCAAGGAGAGGGGAATACTTTTTTTTTATCATCTTATACAAATTTTTGTGGTAAATATTATTCTTATTCTAGAATGCTGGATTTCTCAAGAAAAATGTTTGTGTTTGCTTTTAATTTAGAATATTTTACATTGACATGTTTATTTTTAATTTAAAATTATGATTTGAATTTTTATTAAATGGGGGTTGAATGATGGTAAAAGGCGGATGGAGAGGTGATTTAATTATATCCTTTGTGTTCCTGGCTGTAATTGGTCCTACTTTTTTAAAGAAACAAGTGTCTGATTCTGATTTCTGTGCTGAACTGTACAGTAATAAGGCAGTTTTCACCTTTTGAACCTAAATCTTCTTAACTGGTAAAGTAAGTGTGAGTTTTACTTTGAGGGCATAACTGACATTCGTATGATGCTTCATAGATTTGTATTTTTCACACCACTCCTAAAGGTGATATATTGGAATAGGAAACTTATACTGTACTTTGTCCTCAGTATTACAATGATGAGAGTGTTCCCTTTGTAGCCTGAGTGCTCTTCAAAGTGATTGTTATAGCAAGGATATTCTGAAGGAATATAGGTCAGTATTACACATCTAGGTATGGTGGCATAATTGCTATGAATAATTGCCCCATCCCTTAATTGGCATTTGCAGGTGCAGTTGAAACATATGTGAATGAGACTTGGGTTAAATGACTGAAAAACTCACATTTTCACATATATCCCTTTGTTCACATTCCTGCCACATTATTTGCCTTTTCAGCATCAGAGTCTTTGTTGACTATTGCACTTTTCCCCTTGAATACTATATGACTGTGTCAATAGCATTTTGTTTTATGAGGTAAATTAACACCCCCACCCCTTCTGCAGGACATTTTGCATCTTGAAGGCCTTCTTGTCTTCTTCAAAGCAGCATATAATTTTTGATTGCTATGTTGAATGTGACAGCCAGTCTTTAATAAAGTATGTTAAGGTTTATTTATGATTATGTATTGTAAGGATGGAACCCAAGTTGTTAATTTAGTTGGAGTCCATGCTTGTTGACCAGAATTACTCTACCAAAATAAAGGAATATTTAGCTGTTTATCAATACACGACTTGTTTTTACTACAGAATTTCACCAGTCCTCCTACCAATATGATGTCATTTATGTATTAAATTTATCCACAGATGTTTTTTCTCTCCACCAGCACTTTTATTATAGAGATGTACAATTTTAATGCAACAGTGCAATAAAGATGACAAATCTTCACTGCCTAGCTCATTGAAACTCACTGAAATCCTGTTGCACAGTTTGGGCACTCACAACAGAGAGGAATAAAGATGACAAATCTTCACTGCCTAGCTCATTGAAACTTACTGGTTGAAATCCTGTTGCACAGTTTGGGTACTCACAACAGAGAGCATGTCAGCAACAGCAGCAGCAAATTGCTGATGAGTAAACAAATTGCTACTGACCAAGGGAGATTTAGGTGTGCATGGGAATCATCCATAGTGCAAGAAAGTCACATGTACCCCAAAATTTCCATAGGAAGCCTTTCAATCAATGCAAGCCTGCCGTCACTCATGATGTCGCTCCTGTAATGTACAGAGAGCTGCACAAAGGGATTCCAGCCTTTGAGAAACTCAGTCTTTTACAGCACTTGTTAAGAGAACATCGAAGATAAATAGAGAGATGCCAGCAACTGTATTTGGAGCCCCCACCCCTTCATATCAGTGACAGGGAAATGAGGATGTCAAAATGATTGCTTCCATTTGGGGAGAAGTTGAGGGATCTAAAGAGGAAAGAAAAGCTGGATTATAGGGTGTCAAAGATGCTGGCTTTAATTTTAGGGGGAGTTTTATTAATTTCAGATAGCTATAAGCCATATGGTGGCAGGAACAACTGCTTAGAACCACAAAACATCCTATTACCTGACCTTTAGTGTTCTTTGTTTTATAAACAAGCAAGCACATCTTTTATCCCCACCTGCTGCAATCCTTTCCACAGTGGTCTCCTGTGTTGTCTGACACTCATTTTTCCTTCCCTCCACATTACCCTAATAGCAGTTCTTTCAGTAACAGAAAAAAGGGACCACATGCTTTTTACTTGAAAGTTTCTGTCTTTGAGCAGCCTCTTAAAGTAGGGGGGCAGATTTGCTATCAGAGATGTTAGACAGTATCAAGATTGATGGATCATACACATCCATCCCGTTTCCTCTCTTAATTTCTCCTCTCCCCCCCCCCATTTTTTCTTTTTTTTTCCTCCCCTTCTGCTTCCCTTTTTCTGTACTACCCACCTGCATTGCAATTTGAAAATTTTAATTGGTTCTCTTATAGGCAATAGAAGTATTTAAATGGGGGGCATTACTTGCATTGGGGTGATGATGGGAATTTTTAGTGCACAGGGAAAAGATGATTCAGTTACATCAGTTGTAACTCCTCTGCACCTCCACCCCCCACCCCATTCCCACTGCAAAAACTTTCTATTAGCATCAATGAAAGCTCTTTAAAAGCCTCACTGCTGGGCTGGGGTGAAGAAGAGACAATGTAGGCCAAATCTGGACAACAAGACAAAGGCTCCCTCCTGCCACCATAACATGTTAGATAGATATTTGTTGCTTCAATGGTATTGTGGGGAATAGAAATCTGGTGCATGTGAGGGACTGACCTAGGTAACGGAGTGTGTACCTGGCTCAGATGTCCTTCTGCCAAGAACTCAGTCGACAAACAAGACACCTGGGCAGTAGAGGAATAGTAACACCAATTTTCAAGGTTCTTTTAAGAATAATTGCATTTAATGCTTGTGAAGCAATTTGAGCATCTAGAAGCACTTTGGAAATGCTCAACAGTTGTGTTTATATTCATTTGAAAAGCCTTTTTTTATTGGAATTCTGTTTTATTGTCTCAAAAATGTGTCCAGTGCTATCTTTAAAGGTATATTGAAACTAATCTGTGATCACACTGGGAATTTGAATTGATTTCTGTTCAAATCAGGTTCAAGTCACGTATTTAAACTGTTGGCTGTGTTTGCATGCAACTGGATGGAAGTTGATTTATTTCTGGTGATTTAAGCCAGTTTGGGCATCTGCACTACTGAAATTGGCACATTTCCACAAAACTGTATTGAATCAAATAGATCTTAGAAGTGGAAATATTTTAAAAAGCCCAGGCTGGCCAGTTGAAAAGAATGTGCTTTAAAGCCCATAAAAATCAGTTTCATCCTTGTGCTGTGTGACGGATAAAATCTAAATTGATTTTAAATAACAAATGTGTTTCTTTTTGCCGGTGTGACTGCAGCTTAACACTAGGTTAGATCAGGAGTAGCTCAGTTTCCCACTCCTTAAGGTGAGAAGCAAAGAACTGCCTCCACATTAACACAGTTACAACCCCTCCACAACACTGCTGGCAGTGTGTGACATAGCAGCCAGTAGACCCCTCCTACCATGCCACAACAAAGAGAAAAGGGAAAAAGTGTGCGCGTGTGTGCACACACGTACACATGCACGCACACACACACACTCACTAAGGCTGCAGCACCTCTGAACACTTTTGAAGACACTAGTGCTGCTGGAGAAATGAATAAGATAAGCAGCACAGCTGATTTCAAGCCCTGCTTATTTCAGCCATTTTTATTATGTGGTTTAGTCTGGATCCATCCCAATATTCATGAGGCTAGAGCAGAATATCTATCTATCTATCTATCTATCTATCTATCTATCTATCTATCTATCTATCTATCTACCTATCTACCTACCTACCTACCTTCCTTCCTTCCTTCCTTCCTTCCTTCCTTTCTTTCTTTCTTCCTTCCTTCCTTCCTTCCTTTCTTTCTTTCTTTCTTTCTTTCTTTCTTTCTTTCTTTCTTTCTTTCTTTCTTTCTTTCTTTCTTTCTTTCTTTCTTTCTGCTGGTCTCTAAGGGATCCCTTTTGAGCCAAGGCATAAAAGAAAGGTGAAGGTAGTCATGAGGAATATTCAGAACCAAGAATTGGGGGGGGGGGAATGCCATCTGTTTGTTTGACAGCAGCAGTAGCCACATGTTGTAAGGCATTTGGAGGTGCTGCTTTCACTGGAGTGCTCTGCCACCTCAGTTTATATGATGGCAGGACGGATCCTGAGTGGGACTGGGGCTTAAATCAGATTTGGGTTAGACCCACTTAGGTTAGTTGTATTTAACTTAAGCCCTACTGATTTCATCCATTTTTGTTCTCAACTGTGGTTAATTCTGGATCCATTCTAATATTTATGGGGCTAGGGCAGAAGATATTTTCCAACATCACCATTCCTTTCTCTTTTAGCTGTCTACACTTCTTTGAGAAGTCAGACTCTGTGGATCAACTTGAAAATGGATAAATAGTGTGAATGGAGCAAATCGGAGATCATAAAATTGGTGTTTAAGAACTAGATGCAGCCCAACTGTTCAAATGAATCTTTTATACTGGATTAATATTTTGACACTGATGTCACATGATTTTTATGTGTGAATTTTCCATACTTTGCTGCTGTGCTTACTTCTGATAAACTTAGTACAGATTGTAGCAGATGTGAAATGCTTTTCTTGATAAAAGCAAAAACAAAAACTGCCTTCCTATCAATTTGGATTTGTAAAAAAATCTTCAATAGATAAAGAAACTGTGAATTGTATGGTACAGATTTTTTAAACAACCAAGATCTATCCAGAGTAATATGAAATACCGTCTCTTTATGCATATATATACCACTCCTTCAGTGTTACCACTAAATACCACTCTGGTTTCAACACGCAATAACCTGTAATTTCTGAACCCTTTGGCTTTACAATGTTCAAACATGTACATATTCTTGTAAATAAAACCCTAAATCTAAATTTCCATCTGGTTTCTTTATTCGTATTTTCATCCTATTTGAAGAAATCAGTGTTTGTAAAACAGCAGAATTAAGTGATTTGATTAGTTAGTATTTTACAATAAGGGAAATGTAGCTTCATATGATGTGTTTAGTGGCCACTCATAGAAAGAGTTAACATGCAAGACCAAGTGGTTGTTGATTTTTAAACCACTAATATTTTTAAACACAGTTTCCACGTACACCTATCATCTAGGGGTTCTGCTATGTTTTAACAAGCCCCTGGTATTTTCTTGTTCTAAAATGTCTTGGGGTGTTTTTGTTTCAGATTTTTGTTTTGGTTTTGGCCTTTTAAAATTTAAATCCAGAAATTTACTTTCACAAGCTTAAGTTTTGATCTGAACAATGGGCAGTCCTTCTCCTTGGCAAGTATTTGGGACAGCTTTCCTGTTACAGCCCACCTGAATAACTTACTTGCATCTGATAACGAAGCTTCCTGTCACCCAGAGAAGATGGTGTCCTAGCTTTTATTGCAATAGTCATTTCATATTTTTGACTAGTCTTTTGTATTCTCTTCCAGGAGGTCCACTTAGTGCTCCATTGTGTAGCTTAACCGTGGCATAACCATCCTTTGTCCATCATGAACCAAAATTTTGGGTTGCATGTGAATCATATTCCCACCCACCCCCTTTGTTGAGGGAGGAATTTGCAGGCTGACATACCATCGCCGGGATGAGGGAGGAATTTGCAGGCTGACATACCACCGCCCTGCTGCACATCAAATCTGGAGACGAGACCAACACTCTCTTGAAATGGCGAGAACCCCCACCACCACCACCATCATGAGAATTTTGGGGAGGCATACTGGAAGGGCAGGCTTGGCTTACACCAGTGGTTCTTAACCTTGGGTTACTCAGGCGTTTTTGAACTGCAACTCCCAGAAACTCTAGCCAGCACAGCTGGTGGTGAAGGCTTCTGGGAGTTGCAGTCCAAGAACACCTGAATAACCCAAGGTTAAGAACCACTGGCTTACACAACTCTAAGTGAACTCTTGTGAGGGTGCCAGACCTCAGGAGACACATAAAGGCCTGTTAAAAGGGAGCAATCCACTCCTCCTCCTTTTGTTTGGAGTTCTACAGGAATTTGCTGGTTGCCTTGCAGTGGACCAGAACTCTTTATATCGTTGGGTGTGCTGTTTGATAGCTGTGGGAGAGTTGTTTGCATAGGGTCTGATTTCTCTTTTTTTAAATGCATGTTTCATTGCTTGTTGTATTACGGTAATCTTAC